AGGGACTCATTACTCCCATTGGACCTATTCAAGATCCCCCACCGCCTAGTTAGGACCCAAACGTACAATTCAAGTACCATCAAGGTAGGGGTCACACTACTCAGAGCTGTTGGAAGCTAAAAGAGGTCATCTAATATCTATTTGATAATAACAAGCTTCCCACACCTCTAAATTGCAAGAAGATTGGGTGATGATAAAACGGAGACACGAGGCGAGCTTCAACGACAAGATTTCGTGACCTCTTTTTCTATTTCTTTTATTCATCATTTCCCCAATAAGTTTAGCATAGGCACCTTTCATTTTCCTTAGATTTACTTTGTAGGTTTTTCCTTTTTACCTTTTAATAAAATGAGCATTTCTTTTCTTGCATATGATTATCGCATATTTGCATTAAAAAAATCATGTTGAACTAAGCACAAGGTATACTTATGATTAGAGGCACTCCTTGTAGCCGCATCAAATCACCTTTCACCTTTCAAATATAGATCATTTCTTGATAAACCACTTTGAGCCTCGTCTAACGATATACCTTTCTTTTTTCAATCCACATCTACCTAACCTTGGGATGGAATAGTGTGCAATTTACGCAATTTTCAAAGAATAAAAGCTTGAGTGATTTCAAAAGATTCAGATAGCAAAAAAGCAAAAAATTAATAAAAGTATACAAAAGGTCAAGTGTTCCAATGTCATTGACATAAACATGTCTTTGATAAAAACACAGCTTTCGACTACTTTGAGTATTGTTTTTTAAACTGACGTTTCTACAAACTCATTCAAAGTGGGGGCTTCTATAGACACCTAAAAATGTCTCCCCAAAACCAAACCCGATGATGAATAACCTTTCACTACCATTATTTGTCGAGTTGAGTATTTAATCTTTGGAATGCTTAAATCCATGTTTTCGTTCAATACATTTCATAATCCAATCCAATTCATAGCTTATTTCCCTAAACCATAATATACTTTCCACTTTCCGTATCCACATACAAAACCGAGATAAACTGATTTTTTGGCCCTATAATTTTGATCCAATTATTATTTAGTTGGATATACCTTTCAATAAGCTTTCCAACAATATATTATTAGCCCAATTTTGATTTAAAACGAATAAGATATGAGCAAAATACTAAATTCGGCCCAAAACCGACACCCTTTCACTAAAACAAACATATCTTAAAATCTACAAATGATTTTGACAGGATTCCAATTGGGTTGGAAAGTAGACTTCATAATATTTCCAATGATATATTATATGTCTTATTCCAAGTTACGGATCAAGAAGCTTGGCACCAAATCATTGGTGGCGTCAAGAGGTAAAGATGGAGTGTGGTGGTGTGGTGATGGAAGGGGAACGGAGTTAATAATGTTGCTATTTAAAGGTTACACAATTGCGGAGCGATTTACGGGCTTGTGTTGGATTCAACAGGGTGGAGGCGGTTTCAAGTGGGGTTAGGTTGGTTTTTGGATGCGTGAGGGCGGTGGTAAGGGTGTTATGAGGTGTTGTGGTGGTGGGGCGGTGGTGAAGATGGCGTCATTGCTGGTGGTGCATGCATAGAAAAAAAGAAAAAAAAATTACAGATCATGTAACTGGCACGTGGGTGGTCAACGCCGGAAAAGTGAGTCAACGGCTAGATTTCGGCAAGTGGTAGTCCCTTACAACATTTTTTTTAAAGAGGTAGTCATTTACAACATTTTTTATTTTATTTTTTGGGTGCAAATTTACAACAATTTTTTTAAAAGATAGTTTTTCACATTAATTCCTTATTTTTATAATAGAACTTGTATTATTAATTTTTTTTCAAACTTTATTGAACATTCAAATGCATCATCTATTATGAAATATCCTAGATATTATTAGTTTATTTCGTTCTTCAATTGTTAAAAAAACTCCTTAAAATTGACATATATGTGGAAAAAAATTAGCATAAAAAGTGCAACATATTTTTGGGTTACATATTTCAAATAATTATAGGGTTCTGTGTGTGAACATATGAAAAAGATTATATCATTTTTGTTATTATGAATTTCTGTAAAATATACGTGTATAAAATCTAGTAGGGCATACGATAGGATTCAATGGAATTTTTCACTTCACATACTCAAAGCCTATGGCTTCCCTGATCGTTGGATACAAATGATTCACCAAAGCATATCCACAGTCACCTATAATTCTCTTCTCAATGGTTCTACCTCAGGGACCCTTGTACCTCAATGTGTTCTTCAACAAGGTGATTCGCTCTCCCCATACCTTTTTCTGTTCTGTATGGATATACTCTCCAAAATGCTACATTTAGGTCAAGATTTACAAATGTTCAAAGGGATCAAAATTTCAAGATCCATTCCGATTATTTCTCATCTCTTTTTTGCGGACGACGCCATGATCGTTTTCTAGGCTAATACTTCATCATGCACCAATATTATGGGAATTATTATCAACCGATTTACTAAAATTTCGGGTGAGGAATTCAATTTGTCAAAATCTCTTATTAAGTTCAGCCCAAATACTACCTCTCTTGTTCAAGCTGAATTTAAATCTCTTTTCCGAATAACTCAAGTTAGCCAGTTTGATGATCACCACATTTGTACCCCTATCGACTTCATGGGAAGGAAAAAAGATTAGTTACAATTTCTTATAGACAAGATTCTAAGTCAAATAAATTCTTTAAATGCTATCAGGCTTTCCTAAACCCAAAAATTAATTTTTATTAACTCTATTCTAGGTCATATGACCTCTCATGTTCTATCTTGCTTTGATCTTTAGGCATCAGTTTCGAATAGAATTTATTCCTTACTTATTCGATTCTTTCGGTCTCATCATTCGAATAATAAAGGAATGTGTTTGGTCAATCGGGTTAAGTTCCATCTTCCTCGTGGAATAGGTGGGCTAGGAATTCGAGATATCTCTACCTTGATAAAGCTTTTCTCATGAAGCAAGTTTGGAGGTTTGTGAAGCATCCGCAACTTCTAGTTTCTAGAGTCTTTAGTGCTCTCTCTAAATTCCTCACGGATCAACCTCTTCCTACGCATCAATTCACAAGACGCAATTCTTATGGCCCGTGTAGGTTGATTAGAGCTGATAGCTTACTATCAACAGGATGTGGTTGGAAAGTAGGGAATGATTGTTCCATTCTCGTTGGTACATCCAAATGGGTTAACTAGACCGTTCCAGATTTCAAGCCCAGAATTCCTCTTCATGTCACTAAGGATTGGACGGTAAATTTTTTTTCAAATCCTTATGATCAATCTAGGGATGTAGACAAGGTCATGTCCAGCTTCCAACCAGACTCCGCGGTTTAAACGGAACAAGATTGTCGTTACTGGTCTCGTACTCCTTCAAGGAAATACTTGGTTAAAACTGGATATGCTATGTTACAACAAAAACTTCCAACCACCACGATGTTTCTAAGAAAGTCTATGTGTCACATAAACCCCTCAATTCTAAAAAAGTCTATGTGTCACGTAAACCCCTCAATACGCCATATCATCCGTTCAACTTTTTATTACACCACATCACCCACTCAATGCTACGTGGTTTTCCCTTCCATTTGTTTCTCATGGCATGTCATTCAACTTTTTATCACGCTTAGCACTGTCAAAACGGTTTGACAGTTCGGGTTCGGTTCGGTTTGAAATCGATTCGGCATTAAATCGGGTTAGTTTGAAATCGGTTTCAGTGTCTCGCGGGTCAGTTCCAATTCGGTTTAAATAGTTATCGGTTCGATTCTGATTCGGTTTATTCTTGAGCGGTTTTAATTCGATTAGGGTTGTAAACAGTCCGGGTAGTAAACGGTTTGGTGCAGACGGGTTGCAGTTTGTTAACGATTCAGTGTAAACGGTTTTTATCCCGGTTCAAACAGTTTCGGGTTGGAAACGGTTTCAGGTTAGAAATAGTTCGGTTCTTTTTCGGTTCAGTTTATAACTAGTTCGGTTCTTTTTCGGTTCAGTTTATAATTGGTTCAGTTCTTTTTCGGTTCAGTTTATAATTGGTTCGGTTCTTTTTCGATTCAGTTTATAATTGGTTCGGTTCTTTTTCGGCTCAGTTTATGGCATGAGGATTTTTAGTGGCAGGAAGATATTTTATACTACGATAATAAATTTTTAATAAATATTAATTTGGCAGGAAGAATTTTTGTACTATGATAATTAAATTTCATTTAAAACACCTTTTAACTTAATTTTAATATTCATTTTATAGTAAGCAGTTTGTAGCCGATTCGTTTATAAGCGGTCCGGTTCATAATGATTCGGTTTGCAACGGGTTCGGTTTATAATACAGTTCGGTGCAAATGGGTTGTGGGTTGTTAACGGTTCGGTGTAAACGGTTTTTATCCCGGTTCAAACGGTTTCGGGTTGAAAGCGATTTTGAGTTAGAAACAGTTTGGCTCTTTTTCGGTTCGGTTTGATTTCACTTCGGTTTAGAACTAGTTCGGTTCATTAACGGGTTCGGTTCTTATACGGTTTAACGTTATTCGGATCGGTTTGATTTCGGGTTCATTCACATACGGTTTGGGTCGATTTTCGATTTAAAAAAAAACGGTTTTTAATCGATTCGGTTCTCATTTGGGTCGGTTTGTTTCAAGCAGTTAAACAGTTTCGGTTTGTAATTTGACAGCACTAATTAAGCCAAATCACTCTCTTAATGGTACACGGTTTTCCCTTCCATTTGTTTCCCATGGCATGGCATAATAAAGTACTCCACAAGATTAGAACATGCAATCTCTAATTTTAAAACCAAGTGTCTTACTACCAAGCTATGTGATATTTTATACTATATTTTGAATACAACATATTAATATTTATAAAAAAATTAATTACAAGAAAAAATGTACAGACCCGGTGCATTATTCGGCCCAAATACTAGTTTATACTTTTAAAACTTGTGACTAATGTATTGATAAAAACCAATACAGCTAATCAATCCCTTGTATTTCTTTACCACTAAATTATTGAATTTGGGGGAGCTATGATGATTAGATATCACCCCTAAATCTCAATTAAAATGGTTCAACTCACAAGTTTATTCATCAATAACTTACTAGAGCAATACAGTTGATCCAAATTACACATTTAATAACTCTTACCACCTCCTCCGGCCTTCCTATCCCTCAATGTTCCCAGTGAACCCCCTCGACTCTTCTTCCTACAGCTAATGCCAGTGCTAACATCCTATCAGTCGGAGTAGTAGTATCACTGTCACTATCTTTCATGACATACACTGACTGTTACTAAACCCAAGCTTCTGCAGGCAGAAGTATCCAATTCTACCTTAATTTAGCTACTAGTCGGAGCAACCCATCATACTAGTCATAACATGCTAATTTTGGACAAGCATAGTATTGATGAAACACATTGCAATTTCTACGATAATGATGCAGCAAACGGTGCCAATCTCTTTTTGGCAACCTTAGACCTATAGCACCATACCTCAAATGCCTCAGTTAAGTCGGGATACTGAATATGTTGATTATCCAACCATTCTGTTAAAATCTCCGCCTGATCCCGTGATGGCAACGCAAGTATGACTGAAACAAATGCAGACTCCAAGGTCTGCCACACCTCACAATCTATTTTCAGCTTCAAATTATCCTCCTCGGTATCAGATGGAGCAGTATCGATCAAAGGCTTTGTAACTCTTGCAAAGGGGAGCCATAACTTTACCATGTGAAGCCTCTTTGCAGTTGGCAAAATAACATTTCCATACCCGACTGCTTCTAATACTTTTGTTGCTACCTCGATCACCTTCATCTTTGTCTCAAGCGTTTCTACTTCTAAACTTGCTTTCACAACAAGCTTGACAATCATATCAGAAACCTCTAGCCAAAAAATCACTAAATCTCTCATTATTTCAAGTTTAGCAGATATCTGACATGCCCATGATAGATCCGATAAATATGATTGTAGCAGCTCAAACTTTTCAGCCGCAACAACTGTTGCTTCAAGCTCGTTCAATAAAGATTCTAGAAGAACACTAAATCTCAATAAGAGTCTTTTAATACAGTCTCTCACCTCTAACTTCAGCTCATCACATGAAGTGAGAAGTGGAGCATCATCATCCTCAGCAAGCATGTACTCTAGTTGCTCTTGGGCCGAAGTTTTGAGATCCTTCAATGATGAAGGTGGTGATGAAGTGGCAAATCGAATGGCTGACATAAATATCCTCAAAATGGCTCCCTGATCTACTGGTTGGAGGCGGGCTAAAATCGAGTTAGCTGTGGGTCCAATGACTGGTATGGTATGTAGAATTTCCTCCTCCTCAGCCTCTTCCCAAGGGACAGCTTCCAAATACTCTACCGAAGAAGTAATAATTTGAGGGCATCCAAGTTCAACAGCCACTCGAAGGATGCCAAGGGTGTTTCGAACTCCATGCCAACTTTCAGAAATCAAGCTGTCAGGAACATAGAGGAGACGTAGGAGAGTGATATTGTAGTCAAAGTCAGATTCTTGGCAATGAACCTCAACACAGCTGCGCGCATCAAGGATCTGACATGTTGGCCAAGTGTCAGAGAGACGATCAGCAAAATACTTGCTTTTCTTGACAAGGATGGAGGAGTGGCAATATAACCACTCATCACGAGCTTCAGGAGTCCGCAGCCTAACAACAACATCACTAGTTGGTCGGTCATTAAATTTGAATGAAGAAGCTAATCCATTTTCCTGCTCAAAGGACATTGAGGACCCCAAATTAAAAGAATTAATTAGTATAGAAAATATGGTGTGCAACCAACACATATACACAAATAAATCAATCCATCAAAGCCTAATGTATATTTTTACTCATTAGCAAACTTTTTCATTAAACTTGGCCACAGCTTCTTACTTGAGCTCAACTCAGGCTGCAAGTGCAGTCAAAGTTAGGCCGCCAATTGTGCATTTCAAGCTTGAGTCAAGCTCAGGTACGAGCTATAGCAAAACTGAGTTAAGTCAGACTGAAGCTCCACTCAGCCCATTATCACCCATGGTGCTAAGAATCTTCTTCCAGCTCAAAAATTTCAACAGGGTACAAAATGCATCCCGGTTAAAAGTTTTTACAACATTCTATCACCCTATTCTCTCCACAGTCAGTTGCAGAGAGACGACACAGCAGCAAATTCGGGAAAGGATAAAAGAAATAAGAACTGCAATATTAGTTTTCAGTGAAAAAGCCAACTGGTCTAAATACTTACAGGCTTCTCCATTCAACTGACAGGCAGCTTTGGGCATGAAGCAACCAATCATGACAACTACAGATTCACAAAACAATGAAGAGCGAGTTAAAAAGATTAGCAGAATATACAACTAAAAGACCTTTTTTTTTTTGAAGGCATACAACTAAAAGACCTTGAGCCAATATAGAATAGCATGAAATAATATAAGGCCAATGATATAATTCTACGGGGGCTATTAAAGTTAGTAGGCACCATCAAAAAGGAAACCAATCAGTAAGATCCAAATGAAGTTAGTCAGCTACTAAAGATAACACATTGATCACTATATCAACATGCTGTACATTGAGAAACAAGACAATGTCTTTTGTCAAATTGCAAAAAGTTTTATACACATAATTCGAGTTGAATTCATTTTACTCAAGTGCTCTAACCTCATATTCCCCTATCGTCACTCAAATGTTCTAATCATTTTTCCTCTTCATTGAAGGCACTCTCAACTCCCATAACATAAGAAAAACGAAAAAAAAAAAATGAAATTATGTATTCACCCTCTCATCAGGTCAAACTAGAAAAGTCAGTTTCCCAAAATGTCAATTCATAAACTATTATTATAGTTTAGATTCATTTTAATCGATTTCTCTAAGACCCTTGGTCCTGCCATTAAGCACAAACTCAACTTCTTCAGAAAGACATCAATCGAAATAATGCACTTGCTTTCTTATAAAAATATGTCACTATTTCTATTCAGCTACAACAGCAAGATTAACAGTTTCCCAAACCATGTACAGTCAGAGCATAGTTTTCCTCAAACATCTTCCTATTTAAAATTCATTTCCTATATAAGGGATTGAAAAGTAACATTATCATGAATAATATAAAACAAATATAAGTATATAACCAACCCAATCATAGAAAAAAAAAAAGAAATAGGAGTAGAATTAGATATCTATTAACAAACAGCTCACCAATAGCTTAATAAAACTAACATGACCTAGTAGAACAATTTCCCATCAAACTATTCGTAAGTTAACTGTAAAGGACAAATGAACACATTTAAGTCAAGAATTGAAAACCGACAACTCATAAGTCAGCAACTACAAATAAGGACACATCCACTCGATTCATGGAATGGCAGCACAAGATTCACCATTCCTTAGACCAAATCAGGAGAGAATGAAAATTTAAGACATAATTACATCTTCCTACAATATAAGAGGAATTTTTCCGTAAAATAGAAGCATAAGAAATCAAACTGAATTTCGAGTAATACATGAACTCTGCTATCGGTCAGTCAAAAGGTTGATTGCTTCATTAGTTACTGCTTTGTCAGCATCAGGAATATTTGCAAGCATTATCAACTGATAGTATTAATGAAATAATTTACAGGAGAGATAAGTAAATGCTGCAAGTTACGCACGTAAAATGAAGAGCACACAAATCTCCATGTTCATTTAGCATCCTCAAAATAAGCAGAATTGAGTTATATCTGTAAGCATAACAAAACTATAGTTGACTGATCCAAAAACTCAAAGCCAAAGTACAACAATGATAGACGACATAGCTCAAGGTTCTCTAGAATTTTTACCACTAAAATGTCTCCTCATGTGTTAAAAAAAATTTGCTGATCTTTACCACTACAATGTCTGTCTACAATGCGGTACTTGCTGAAGAAATTGATGCTTAAGACCCATAATCGTATAAGAAAGAGTCACTAATAATTGGTCGATTGGAACAGATTGTGCAGGTAGCTCGAGTGCCTTACTGGCCACAATGGTACTCAAATTCCTATTACTCTCCCTTATTTCTTTCGTTTGATTCATCCGCATAAGCTCTACAGATGTAATTCTATCTTAAGACTTGTGCAAAATTCATCCGCAAAGGGTTTTTTGGTTTTAAATCAAATCTCTTCTCTCTCACGAGACTCTAGCCTAGAAGTGCTTAAGGCGCTGTACCTTGTGCCTTGCACTCCGCCGAAGGTGATTAGAGTTGCCCTGCAGCTGTAAGTCACTGGGACAGGGCGTGTCTGATGGGATTGGGTTTACACTGCTCTTCACCTTTTGCCTAGGCTCATCGGAGGGGAGCTCTTCCAAACTAAGATCAACAAACTCATCACTATCATCTACATAAACATCATCTACACCAATGTATTCTTCCATCTCACTTTCATCATCCGATGTCATCATTTTAATAGATGTTTTGTGAGACAAGCTACTAGCATGACCCTTTCCTCTATTAGCTTTAAATAAGGAGGGCTTGGATCCATGCCTAACCACCCTTGATGCCGCAATGACATGGCTAGGATCACAGGTTCCAACAACTCCACCAACTGCACCCCAATTTGAATTATCACCATCTAACACAAAATTACCTTCATCAGCACAAGAGTTCTCATCCATTTTCCCAAGTAGCCACTCATTACAATCATCAATCTCTTCCAAGAGAATGGGATTGGTGGGATCTTTCCTACTGTATCGGCATTGCAATGCACGATTGAATTTCACAAAGACCAGATCATTCAATCTACCTTGTGCCAATTTGTTTTTCTTCTTGGTACGGAGCTGTTAGAGGTTAAAATGTATAAGTTTATGTTATCAAAACTTAGTTCAATAATAGTATAAGTAAATTATCCACTTACAAGTTGAAAACCATCCCAATTCCTTTCACAACCAATAGCACTACATGTGAGGCTAAGAACTCTCATCGCAAACTTCTGGAGGTTGGGTGTTGAACATCCATATGTAAACCACCACTCCGCTATTAACAACCAAACATTGATAAATTCAATAAGTAGTGTAAGACAACAAAGATATAAATGATTGGCATCCTAAATTCAAAAAAAAAAATTATTTTATTTTTACCAGGAGGTTTTGTCTTCCTTTGCCTAACAGCTATGGGTAGGCCAAAGAGACTGGAAGCATTTCGATATGCATCCGAATCAAAACTAATCTTGTCTTGAAGATCAATTTCTGGGACCAGCCGTGTAAGGCAATCAAGAAAACCCGTCATAACTTTTTCACAACCTGATACATCAGGGTTATCGTAATGAAATTCTGGATTTAGAAAATAGCCTGCTGCATGCAAAGGCTAATGAAGTTGACGATTCCATCTTTCATCAATATACTCAAACGCTTTCTTGCAGTGCTCCTCCGTGGTACAACTATTAGCGATAGCTTCTTTGGCTCTGTCCATAGCTTCATATATGTATCCTATGGACGGCGTTTTCTCTTCATCAAGCATTCTTAAAATCTTAATTAGTGGTCCTGACAACTTGAGAGCATAAACAACATTCTCCCAAAAAGTGTCTTGCAAAATAAAGGATGCAACTTTCTATGCCCCCACTTCTTTTGGCCGATTGGAAGAATTCCATTCCTGAGATTTGACCATCTTCTTTAAGTTGTTTCTTTGCTTGTGAAATTGTGCAAGAGTAATGAAAGATGATGCAAATCTAGCGATTGTTGGCCGACACGGAATTCCTTGATTTGTGAACCTTCTCGTCATGTTCACAAGAGACACATGGCTATTTATATAGTCATTGATAAAATTGCACTTCTTCAATGCATCCTTAACTTTAGCAATTTTTCCAATATCCTCCAGCATGAGATCAATACAATGTGTCGCACATGGAGTCCATTAGAGACATGGCCTATTGGCCTCTAGTAATCTTCCTAAAAGTTAATAAAAATAGGAAAATAAAAAACAAATTCAAATTATTATCATACCATAAATTAAAAAATACATATAACAAAGGAAAAATAAAAAGAAAGGAGCTCATATTCTTACCTGCTTTAACATAATTAGGTGTATAACTCGTCACCACTTGGACCACATTCTTCTCTCCAATTTCCTCCACCATGTTATCCAACATTTGAAATAGCAAGTTAACATCTTCCACAATTTCAGACACATCTATTGATTTTATGAACACGGTGCTCTTTGAAGAGCTGACTAGAAAATTCACAAAATCCTTATCAACAACCGAATCATGCCATCCATCAACTAGAATTGAACAACCTTTTTGTGCCACTCTTTTTTATGCTCCTCCATTTGCTTAAGAATGTCGTCTACTTCCTTCTGAAGGAGGGGAGCTAGCTTCTAGCTCATGCACGCTTGGTGGTTTCAAGCCAGGACCATATTGTCCAATTGATTCAATCATCTCTCCAAAACTTCCATAATTTGCTGCACTAAATGGAATTCCCGCATCATAAAACCACCTACCTATATCTCTACATAATTTATCCCTAAACTCCTCATCACAATTACCTCGTTGCTTCCCTTCATGCCCATCCTTTCTACACTTAATTGCATCTTCACGACTAGGAGTGAAGTACATGTCCACCCGACTCATTTTTCTTAGTCTTTTAGCCAGTTTACCCGAGCTACCTCCCTTCGAGTTCAATGTTTCCCAATCTTCTTCCTCGTCATTATAATCATCAACATCATGTTGAGTTACCCTTGGTAATATTTGACCACCACTCTTTGCTAGTTGCTTCTTTATCATAAAAGACTTCACTTCCTCCCTTACATGCTCCGGACAACTAAAGCATTTAGTCACATTTCTAAATCCTCCAACCAAATGTTGCTTTAAACGATAAGCCCCTCCCTTAGTTACTTTACCACAAAAGTTGCAAGTAAAATTGTTCCTATTATTAAGTTCCGGACTTCCATATTTCCTTGCCGGATCCTTAGGGTCCAATGAACACGGAGAGGAAATCGCCAAATCCAAATTACCATAATTCATCATCTTAATCCTCAAACCACTAAACAACAACCTGAAAACACAAAAAATACAACCAAAATAAACAAAAGACCTACCACACTACCAATTAAACAAAAAAGAAACCAAGAAAAGATCATATACCTCAAATCAGCGTCAAGGAGAGTCAGCAAAGTCGAGCCGACAAACTCAGCCTTCACTACCGAACAATGCTGGTAATGCTGCAGCAGGGCACAGCTAGGGTTTTCCGGCCTTCGAAGTACAGAGAATTGAGATCCAACTATCCAAAGGATTTGTTTTTTTTTTTTTTTTCTATGTATTTAATTACATGTTTAATTAAAAAAAAATTAGTTGGTCTTTCAATAAAATTATACAGACGCGCATCAAACACCACAAAGCGCGCAGGCGGCTCGCCTTGCGCCTCAACCAAAGCGTATACAGGCGCGCGCCTGCCATAGGCTCGCCGCGCCTTTCGAAACTAACTTAATTAAACTCAAAAACAAACACATTTATACACATTTATCCTTTGCATTCGGCTATTCCAAAAATGAGATTATGATATTAAATTGGTTTCTCAGCAATTAGTGATTATTCTAATTAAAGCACAACAAAGCATACAAATAGTCGTTTGTTTTCAATTAATTGTATAATTCAAATCATCACCCAAATTCTAACACTCAAATTAACAATCTAAAAGTGTAATAACAAAAAAAAATGCATACAAATACACAAAATGATGATGAAAAAAAATAAAAGTAAAAATAATGTTAAAAAAGTAGTAAAATACCTTGATTTTATGAGTTGCAATCTTGCATTGCATGATTAGAATTAAAATATTTGCACATAATTCCAAGGTTTGAAATTGGTAAAGCAATTGATTTGAGCAAAACTACTTTCTCTCTCTCATCGACTTTCACAGTTTGAGTTGAGAGTTTTTTTTTTTTTTTTTTTTTTTTTTTTGTGTAATTTGTGTTTTGTCGGAAAGAAAGTGATAATATGACATGAGCACGTGGAGTTTAACAGTTAGTTTCATGGGCATTGTCTCAGATTGGGCCGGATTATATTTTGTCGGCCCTAAAATATAGGCTAACATTTTTTAACTTTTTTTTTTTTTTTTTGGTTTCTTCCGATTTATCCATTGGGCTAATCCAAATTTGAGAATCAGTTCTGGGTGGTTAGGTTCTACTTCTATCTCAATTATTATTGCGGCCTTGCGGAAGATCGAACACGAATCCTCCCTAGTCCCTACTAAGTGTAGTCTGAATCACAACTACACTAACAGCCAATTGGTTTAACGTTTTGTTAATTAGACTTGAAATGCTGCAAAATAACCATTTAATTATCAAAATAAGCAAAAAAAATATCTTTAATGCATCGTGTATCTAAAAAAATTTGCTTCAACCATCAGCTTAAAAATTAATGTTAACCACTAAACTATCACCATATTACATGTCATTCTATTAAAATTAAATATAAATAAGGATGTCAATCATGGAATTAATGACATAACTTGGGATATCATTCGGGCCTAAAAGCTACTTCCTCTGTTCTTTTTTACTTGACTTGTTTCTTTTATTACACTTGCCTATGCAAAACTTTAACGATTAATAACTTTAATTCTCCATAAGTATAAATTATAAAAATTATATATTATGATAGTACTTATTCAGATGAATTCAGATCCCGCATGAATATATTTTTCCTTACATATTATTTATAAAAGACGGTCAAATAGAGATGATGAATAGTGTAAAAGTTAAAGGGATCAAGTAAAAAAATACTTGGTGAATTTGTCATGTGAATGTGTTAAAGTATAGTCTTTTCAAACAACATATGTGACTGATGTGAGTGTCTTGTATTGATAATAAAAATAGACTAAAACACTTTACATAGTATATGGTTGAGGTCTTAGGAGTTGCAGCTACACTTCAACTTGTAAAGTGGATTCTCTATTCTGATGAGAGGTGAGGCCCAAGCCCGAATTTAACATGATGCTAATTACTTAAATTAGTTACAATCTTGGACCAAATTCTTTTTGGAAATGGATTACTTGCCTTGGAAAAAATCTTCATTCATATAATAAATCACAATTTTTACACTACTCCCTTGTGTAGCGTGCTCTAGCTACACCCCTCCTCCCCACGACGTCGTTTATGTGTGTTTTGGTTTTTTTTTTTTCCTTTTTTTCTTCTCTACCATTTTTGGCTAGTTGTTTAATTTTCCTTTTTTTTAATTGTTTAACTTTTTACTCAAGCTATGTATATATATCATTTGAAACTTTTATTTCTCTCTCTTCAATTGATTTTGTTCTTATTTTTTCTCTCTCTTTAATTTGATTTCATCTAATTTCTTCATTTGATTTTCATATTATTATTAACTTGTTTGATGGATGATTCTTCTACTGCTGATTTTGATCGAGATTGCGAAGCTGTTCTTCCATCTGGTGTTCCATTGGTTGATTCATTTGTTCATCAATGTGAGCTATTTTTATTATTTATATTTTTTTTGTTTATGTCTGTAATACCCCGTATTTTATATGTATTTTCATTAAAGTATGTATTTTATAAAGTATTTAAATATTAGTAATTATTTTAATTAAAGTATTTTAATTAATATTATTATAAAAGGAAAGTTTATTTAATTATTTTATTTAAAAATTGGGGTTTTATTTTTGGAAGTTTAAATTTTTTAACAAGTTTTATTAGGGAAGGAATTAGAAAAAAAACCTAGAAGAGGGTTAGTAGAGAAGGGGTATAAATATCCCACTTATGAGGCAAATCAAACTTTGCCCAGAGTGGAGAAAACCCAAGGTAAACTTCTCTCTCTCTTCCTTATTTTTTTCCTTTTTCTTTTTTCCCCCTTCCCCTTAAACTTGCGGCTGCCCTCCCTCACCACCGCTGCCAGCCACCGGCAGGCTGGTGGCCGCCGCCGCCAGCAGCCGGCAGCCGGTGGTGGCTGCCGCCCTTCTTCACCTTTTTCTTTTTTTTCGGACCATATATATAAAAAAAAAATTGAAGCTTTCTTGTTTTAATTCAATCTATGCTTAGATCTAATTATAAATTATGAATTTTGGGATTAAATTTTGATGTTTGAATGTTGTAATCATGTTAATTAATTTTCAGCTTTGGTTTTAATTTAAAAAGCCCCAATTTTTGAAACCCTAGGTTCTTGATTTATGAAATTATGAATGTATATGATGTATGAATGTTTAGATCTTCAATTTAAGTGCTTTGAAACCAAATTACAGCAAGTTTTAATTAGAAATAAAGTGCTGGAATTTTATGTAGAACCCTAAATATTATGTTTTTGAAGGAAATTTAAATTACCCATCAAGTGGGACTTAATTAGAGTGTTTTAAATATAATTTCAGCTTATTCTAATTATTCTACGAGGGATTTTAGGATAGTATATATTGCTGGAAATTTGTTAGAGTGGGTTTTAATGCTCTATTGTAATTTTAATGTGTAGGAGACTTCGCAGTGAGCAATTTTTATTAGTTGTGACGATTTTAAGATCGTATTCAAGGTACGTTCGCGTACTTAGCATATTTTGATGATGTAGAATCATGCTAGGTTTAATTTCAATCAATTACAAGTAGTATCATGCTAAGGTTTATGTATTAAATTGAGAATTATTGGTGTTGGTGATTGATTTGTGAAGCATGAATTATTTGTGATGGTTTATGGATTGGAAAATTATATTTTGGCATGATTATATGGACTACATATTTATTTATGGCATGATAGAGAGCTTGTTTAATTAAACTAATTGTTTAATTATGTTTGGAATATTGAAAAGGAATTTAATTATGGTTCATATAATTTTTATTGGTGCTTTAAGCATGAGGAAGGAGCTAGATAAGTGTCTATGTACACGAGGAATAAATTGTATGTTGGTGCCTTTGTGCACTTAAGGTGTGTTTAACACCGAGGGATAGGATTTGTGGCGCATTATGCGGTTAAGGTGTCTTTGACACTGAGGTAGAATTAAAAAGGGTTCAACATTAAATCATTTGCGGTCACTAATTATTCAAGAATTAAATTGGTAAGTTTGTTTGATTGAATAATTATTGTTGATTGATTTATTATGCTTTGAGAGTCATCACCAAGTCTAATAATATGTAAATAAACGTAAAGTGAAAGAGATTACGCACCAAAACTCTTGGAACGTATATACCTTGAGTATGAACAATGGGGGGGGGATTATGGGGTTTTATATTTAACCATAACTTCCAATGGAGTACAGGACGCTGTATCTTCCTTTTTATTATTTATTATGCGCAGGAATTCCGCCACCTTTGTGTGGTTTGTCGCTGGCACGGTTAGCTCCCGTGCCAGTTAACCTCAAATTTTATTTGGGGGAGGTTAAGAGTTGGAAACCCGTTCGATGCGTAATCAAGGAAAAATGAATTAATTATTGTCTAGTCATTGTGTCTTGTTTGTTGTGGGTGTGCTTGTAAACAGGTGCAATGAGGTAAGTGTGTGTGATGATAGGAGAATGCATGCTAGTGTGTTAAGCTACGCTTATGTACTCAGCTTTGCTGATTGTGTGTGTTGTTTGTGTCTGGCCATGTCTTTATCTTGGCCCTACGATGATCCATTTTAATGGAGAGTAGTGGGGGCAAGTAGAGATACTCTTTCAGGTATTGAAACATGTTCATGACGGGGCATGAGTGAAGAGGGAATCATGCTAGCTTCCATTAGGATATGTTTTGTTTTATGCATTGAATGTTTTATTATATTACTTTGTGGACTAACACTAAAAGTTGGGTTGTTTGAGTTTTGAATAAGGGTCTTAAATGGTTCCAAGTTGTAGTGGATTTTAATTGGCTTTGGTTTTGTTGATTTTCAACTTTATTTTCGTTGGTTTAGTTATTAAATTGTGTTATCTAAATAGTTTTGGTTTTTAAGTCTTCCGCTGTGTATCTTTGATATCTGCCTTAACCGTTTTCACGGTGGCGGTAATGTCTTAGATATTCCTAAAACGTATTTTAAAAGGAGTAAAGTGTGCATTTAAAGGAAAGGAATTTCTAGGGTGTTACAAAGTGGTGTCTGGGAGCTTAGGTTGAGATTTTAAATTACCACTAACACGAAAACGTTTTTTTTATGATTTAAACTTGGCCAAGTGCTAATTTAATTTTACAATGTCAATTTCATTCCGATTTTATTTTATTTTAAATTATTTCATTAAGAGGGCCGAATTTTTTTTTATTTTATTTTTTTTAATTTAGTCCGAAATTTTTTTTAGGGACACTCGAAATTTTTTTTTAGTGTCCGAAATTCATTTTTTTTCTAAATTTTGTGAAGGCCGAAAGTTGGCTCTTCCTTATAATTTCAAAAAAAAAAAAAAATTTAGCAAAATAAAATATTTTTAGTTTGTTAATTTTGCAGGGAGCAAAGGATTGAGGTAAGAATTATGTGTTAAAAGCTTTTATTAACATGTTGGTGAGCTTGGGTAGGAAAGGAGAGGGGCATATAGGCTAGAATTTAATTTCTTCCCTGTGTGCATAAATTTTATTTTAGAATATTCAAGCATGTTGTATGACTAAATGTTGTGATGAAAGCATGCAATATATGAATTATTTTATGTCATTCTTCAGATTGTATGATTGAACACCAAACTTTGTATTATCTATTTAATTTTTAATTATTCCTTTAGGGGAAGGAAATCTTTTCTAAACCTTTTCTCTACAGGATGCCAATTTTTCCTAGCAAGTTTACCCAAATGGGATCTCTCGTAAAGAAAAATAATGAACACCCCTATGACTTTGTAGAAAAGATCAGATACTTTTGTTCCTACATGAGCAATGTCTTGCGGGAGAAAGTTTATGACACCCCTGATCGTATTTCGTCAATGATTGTACATTGTCTTCTAGAGGAGCCCCC